AATATACCCTAAAGAAACCAGAGCCATGACTTAAGCATATGTATGCTATGTTTTTTGCTGCATTATTCACAATAGCAATGAGATGGAAGCAACCCAAGTGCCCATCAACAAATGAATGGACAGAGAAACTATGGCATATTCACACAGAATATTATGCAGCATTGAAAAAAAATGAACTCGTAAAACATTACACAACACAGGGGGGCCTGGAGGACATTATGCTGAGTGAAACATCTGTCACAAAACGACAAATATTGCATAACACTGTTGTTATAAAACAGGACAGACAAGAAAGGGGAGTTGGGGAGAGAACGGAAAAAGAGTGCATTTTTAATGAACACTACATTAGATAAGAGGAAGAACTGTCTGAAAGTTGGAGAACTGTGGAAGTTGGAGAGTGAATAAAGAATACAGAAAAAGAAAGGATGCCTTTGAATTGTGTTTGCGAAAAGTACTGATTAGTGCATCTAAATTCCAAAATCAATCTCCATAATAGTCTATGTTTTTCCTACTGCCAAAGGTGCCCTTTAGAGTAGTGAGAGAAGATCTTCACCCTGAAACCTACAACGTCCCTTTTCAGCAGGAAGTAGCCAAGAGAATACGCCATCCTCTTTTCCTTATGAATCAGGGTGAAGTCTCTCTCAGGGAGGAGTGATAGGGAATGACAAGGACACACTGACAAAGGAGATTAATCAGAACTGGCTTTGACAAGCACTGTGGCAATTGGACAATTAAAACAGACTTTCAAGGGGGGGAAAAAAAGAACAAACTGGGGAGGAGAGTAGAGAAAATAGTGCAACAATGAATGAATGAAAACCAAAAATCTCTGTAAATGTTCATTAAAATTAATAAAATAATTAAAAAAATTTTTTTAAAGTACTGATTATCCCATGGACTTATTATCAAAAGGACAAACTAATCTACTTGTCTTGGAGGCAAGCAAATTGCTCCTTAAAAGTAAAAATGGTGCAACTACAATCCCAGAGGCAAACGGTTCCAATCCACCAGATGCTCTGCCCGGGAAGGAGGGGCAATCTCCTCCTGTACCAGTCAGATCTGATTTGACGGTACACGCACACAAAAATAATAAAATTTTTAAAAAAAAAAGTAAAAATGGGCGAGTTCTGTTGGCCTTGTGGCAAGAAGCTGCACTGCAATCTCAGAGGTGCGCGGTTCAAATCCACCAGATGTTCTGCTGGAGAAGGAGGGACAATCTCCTGTACCAGTCAGATCCGACTTGACAATTTGCACACTCAAAAATAATACTAATATTAATACTAATAATGATAATAAAGGTGGTGAAATCGGGGCCAGCATCCTTTGGGCATTTTGTTAGGAGGTGGAAAAGACATGGTGTTGGGAAAGGTGGAGGAAGACCCTCAAGGAGACAGATGGACAGAAGGACTGCAACAGTGGTCTTGTGCACAGGAGAGATGGTGAGGATGGCACAAGACTGGCTGGACAAGGCACAGATCTTGCCCTCAGGGTCTCTGTGAGTCATGGTAAACTCAATGGCCTTTAGATTAGTAGCCATGTCTGTGAGGTAGGTGGTAACCCTGCTGGGGGCAGGTGGGAGTCCGCGTCCTTGGCTTCCCAACGCCGACCTACACCTACCTGGGGAAGCCCTGGGCCTGCAGGGCCTCCACACACTGCTCCTCCAGGCGGCCCAGACGCTGGTCCAGCTGCATGAAGGTCTCGGGAGCATAGGGAAAGGAGCAGGGCTCCTGGGCTTCGTGCACCACGTCCGCCAGGGCCAGCCCCAGTGCCGACAGCAGCCCACTGTGCCTGTGGGAGCAAAGTGGCCACCATGACGGCAGGCTGGCAGCCACCCCTCTACAGCCCATGAGGCAAGCACTTACTTGTGGATGTGCACAGTGTCCATTCCCAGTGCCCGGGCAATGGCGCAGGCATGTTGCCCACCAGCTCCACCAAAGCAGGCCAGTATGTGAGCAGAGGGGTCATGGCCTCGAGCCTGCAGGGTGAAAGGGTCAGTGGACGCCTCTCCCACTGCTGGCTCCAGCCTCACACACCAGCTGCCCAGAAGGGGTGTACCTGTGTGAGGGCACGGATGGGCCTGCACATGGCTTCATTGGCTACACGCACAAACCCCATGGCCACCTCCTCCAGGCTCAGCGGGGAGGCCTGGCCAGGCCCGTTGGCCAGGAAGCTGTTGACCTCAGTAGCCACAGCCTCCAGGGCCTTGCGGGAGGCCTCAGGGGACAGTGGCTGGTCCTCTCCCGGCCCAAAGATGCAGGGAAAGGAGGCAGGTAGCAGGCGACCCAGGACCAGGTTAGCATCCGTCAGTGTTAAAGGACCCCCTGGAGGTGGACATGGGATAGGCTTGAGGTATGGGCAGGCGGGAGACAGGGGCTGAGGGCAGGTGTCCACCAGTGGACAGCGTGGTGAGGTGGTCTTGGGGCACTACCTGCTCTTACCTTTCCGGTAGCAGGCAGGACCGGGATGGGCTCCCGCAGACTCGGGGCCAACCACAAAGAGGCCTGACCTTGGGAAAAGAGAAGACTGGAATTGGGGGTGAGAAGAGGCTGGGGTTCAGGGTCCCAGACAGGTGGGGGGCTAACCTGAAGAAGAGTCTGGAGCCCCCACCAGCTGCCACTGTGTTGATGTCCAGCTGGGGGGCCTGGAGGGTGACACCGGCTGTACTGGCCTCAAAGACATGTTCAAACTCCCCAGCATAGCGGCTCACATCAGTGGACGTGCCTGGGGTAAGAAGAGAGTGAGGGGTCACTCACAGCCCAGGATGCCCAACCTGGTGCCTGAGCCTCCCCAGTCTGGACCCTCTTACCTCCCATGTCAAAACCGATGACCGGCTGGCCACCCTCGGCCTGGTAAGTGGTGGCTGAGTAGCCAACCACGCCCCCAGCGGGGCCAGAGAGCACGGCTCGAGAGCCGCTGATGCTGTCCATGGGCGCCAGCCCACCATCCGAGCGCATGAACAGAACCTGCACGTCCTGCAGATGGAGATCAGTGGACAGTGAGGGGCGTGGCCAGGCCAGGAGGGTCTGATGAGCAGTGAAGGAGCCCAGTTGCTGGGGCCAGGCAAGCAGTGAGGAGACTGGTCATTTGAGGAGACTGGGTAGACAGTGAGGGCTAGGGCCAGGGGCACAGTGAGGGGCTGGCCAGGTTGTGGGGACCAGGAAGTACAGTGGGGAGTACAGGCAGGCACTGGAGGCCAGGTGGGCAGTAAGGGATCAAGCCAGATATGGGGTCCGGCCAGGCCTGGGCCAGCAGGGGCCTGGTCAGGCTGCCATGGTGGTGGGTCTCACCTTGAGCTGGCCTTGGAAGCCATGACGGAAGGCCTGCACGTAGCGCTGGATGGTGGGTGTGAGGTAGGCATCAGCACAGGCTGTGTGACCCCTTGGCACAATACGGACCATTGGCATGGAGTCCGAGGACAGTGACACATGGGTGAAGCCCAGCTCTCGGGCAAGCACGCCCACCTGTTGCTCATGCTGACCCCACCTAGGGAGAGGAGGCCACTCCTGTCCAGCCTGCTGCCCTGTGTCCTGTCCACTCTCACGTGTACGAGTGCATCAGCACCACGGCCAGGCTGGGCACCTCTGCCCACTGCCCACTCCTGTCCAGCCTGCTGCCCTGTGTCCTGCCCACTCTCACGTGTATGAGTGCATCAGCACCACGGCCAGGCTGCGGATGCCGCGGGCCAGAAGTCCCTCCAACTTCCCACGCAGACCTCCAAGGTCCACTGGCTGCTGCACCTCCAGCAGGTCCCCTGTGCGGCCTGCAGGAAGCCCATCCCATCAGAGGCGGTCACACCTGCACCCCCGCTGCCCCAGTGTTGGCAGGCCCCCACCTTTGACCAGAGTGCCTCCACCCAGGTCCTGGCGATGCAGCACCACACGCTCGTCCACCTCCAGCACCTCGTCGTACAAGACCTCTGGCATTGGCACCGCCTGGGGACAGGACAGGCTCAGAGCTGGCCAGGCCGGCAGCGCAAACAAGGGAGCATGTTCCAAAAGGCCCACCAAGGAAGGCCACCCAGGAGAGGTGCGGTTGACAAGAGGAGGGTGGCACTGTCCGCTCTAAGGGGCTTGGGGCATAGACAATCTCTGCTCTGCCCATCACAGGTGACCCCTCCTCCTAAGACAGCCTGACCAAGACCATGGGCCCTTGTCAGTGTGGGCCACACAAGCCACCCTGGGAGGGGCTCACCAGGTCGAAGAGATCCCCTCGGGCCTGGGTGCCAATGTGCAGCAGGTCCCGGAAGCCACGGGTCACCAGCAGCCCCACCCGCTCCCCTCGCCGCTCCAGCAAAGCATTGGTGGCCACTGTGGTTCCCATGCGGATGCTCCCGATGCGGCTAGTGTCCAGCGGCCGGTCCCGGGGCCACGACACACCCAGCTCCTGGAGAAAGACACAGTCAGACCCCAGCCCCCGCGCCCCTCCCTGTGTGCCAGCCCCGGCCCACCTGCTCCAGGATGCGGCGGATGCCCTCGGTGGGCGCATCAGCATAGTTGGAGGGGTCCTCCGAGAGCAGCTTCAGGACACGCACGCGGCCTCCGGGGCACTGGGCAAACACGTCCGTGAAGGTGCCTCCGCGGTCAATGGCGAAATGGAAGCGCCCCTCGGGGCCGCCCATGGTGCTCGGGCTGGTGTCCAGGAGCGCGTCCTCGGCCCGCAGCCCTGGGAGAACTGAACGAGGAGGAGCCTGGGTCAGCCACAGGGGGGATAAATGAGGCTGGGCAGAGGTCCTGTCCCTCTGGGCGCTGGTGGCCCAGGTGGGGTCCAGGTGCAGGGATGACCCAGGCGGATGACAGGTTTCCACGCTGGGAACAGGCCTTCCCAAGGTGGTGCTGCTGCGGGCTGTGGACCCCCTAGGCTGGGCCGCGGTGGTCCTGGTTCTCTAGGGCTTCCCCAATGGCAGGCCTGGTAGCCCTTTGCCCGCGGGACTAGCTTCACTCCCCCCCCCCCACCTTCCCAGGAGGCAGGGCTGCGCCTTCGCCTTCGACGGGGTGGAGGCTCCGGCGGGGCGAGGGGTCGGGAGCTGAACCCCAGGGAAAGGCCGGGGAGGGGGTCCCCGGGCCAGCGGACCCCAGAACACGGCAGGGCCCACCTGGCCCGTCGCTTCTGCTCGCTGCGGCCACTCGCCGATCCTCTGTGCGCCGTGCGCCGCGCCGGGGGAGGGTTCCTTGCGGCGGAACCGGCGGAAGCAGGCCCACCCCCCGCTCGACCAGTCCCAGTGCCCGCCCCGCGGGTTGCGTCAGCTGGGCCTGCTCCTTGCGCGCTGGGACCTGTCCCTGGACGGCCGCCCTGCTTACCGTTCCGCCCCCGCCCCCGCCGCCTGGCCAAGGGCACCCCAGGACCTGCGCCTGGACGGCTTTCCGCTCTGCCCCCGCCGCCTGGCCAAGGGCACCTTGACCATTTGTGCGTGACTGCCGGGACTGCACCGGAAGGCTGTTAGCAGAGCCCCGGACACAGCCACATGGACCTTGACCACTCACTGGAATGGCCTCAGCCTTGCCAGAGTCTACGCTGTGCAGTGAGAGCCTGCACCCTCACCCACACCCCACCCTACCCCGCAGACAGAGGTGGAGGGGCGCAGAAAGAAGGGATATCGGTCCACACCCCCAGCAGCTCTCACATCCCCTTTCATGTGATGGTGTCCACTCTGCACGCCGTTCACCACCCCATCCGTCCACCCCTTTCCCTCCCACAGGTGGGAGTTCTCACCCTCGTTCTGGCTCCTCAGGCTCCCCTCCCCCAGTGAAGTGAAGGTTGGATCGGGACACCTGTGTAAGGCTCAGAGCTCCAGGGTAAACCCCCCAGCTCACCCTACTCCAGTCTGCAGTCTGGGGCCGTGTGGACCCTGGCCTCCTGATTCGGTTACCAATAAGCACATGCATCCTCATGCTTGCTTATTTATTAATCTATCATAAACAGTTTCACTTGTTTGACCACATCAAAGATTCTGCTGTCCCTGATGGCTGCCTCTATCCCAGCCTTGGTACAGCTCCTCAGAACCAGCCTCTGGCAGGGATGGAGGCCTGGAGTCAACAGAAGCAGGCCTCCTTGTGCTTATCTTAGGAAACAGTTTCACTGGACTTTGACCACATTTCATTTCCCACTACTGCCCATTGCAAACCCTAAGTGACCAGCCTAGTCTGCTGGGCCAGCCACGCTGCCACCGATCTCTGGCCTGGATGTTCCCCTGCCCGTCTGGGGTCCCCCAGACTTACAGAACAAGAATCAGGATACCTGTGTGAGTGGCCAGGCTGGTACAGAGTGGGGGGTACATCAGCCACTTCAGACTGAAGTGGGGTCAAGGTGCTGAGAGGGCCGGTGTAGGGTCGCAAATACAGCCAAAGCGGGGGCTGAACTGTAGACCTAATGGACCCAGACAGGTGGACCTGGCCAAAGAAAGGGCCAGCAGAGAGCAACTACGGGAGTCTGTGAGGGGAAGGGCCTCACTTTGCACCCCACACCCTGAGGTCCCCACCACAGGCTCTGCTGACCCCTCAGTCCGCTCAGGTGACTGTAACGATGACGTGGATTGGTGGTCTTGTCTCCTGGGTGAGACAATGGATGAGCAGGGACAAAAGGCACAGAGTTTTGGAGCTGCTGCCCCAGCCTGGCCACAAGGCACCGCACCAGGGGCCCTGTCCTTCAGTGCAGCACTGCCCCCATCCTGCCTGTTTCCAAGGGCTCTCCACACAGCCCCCTGTCCTCTCACTGGGATCAAGGCCTCCCCACCTCCCTGACAGCGTGTGGACCCACTGAGGTCACTGGCGCAGGATGTCACCCTGTCAGCCTCTCTTCCATTTTCACTCCACAGAACCCACTCACAAGTGCTTGTTACTGAGATCTGTTCCTTTCCAACCAGGCAGCCCTGGGGCTTCTGCTCTCCACAAGGGTCCAACCCTCCCCGAAGTGCTCTCGGCCCCACCCGCTGAAGAACAAAAGGTCCAGCCCACTGGAAGCTCTCCTTCCCCTTCCTTCCTGGATGCACCTGTCCCCTGGACCCAGCCACCCCCCCAGCTCTCCACAGACCAGTGTCACTGGTTTTGTCCTTAAATAGTGACATGTCTTGATGGCTCTGCTTCCTAGTGACAGAGGCCATGGGGACATGGAGGGAGGTCATGTGGACCCAAGTGTCCACTTGCCGTCCACTTGGGCTCTATATGGTCAGAGGCTCCCCCAAAATGAGGCCCTTATGACCCCCAGGCCCAGGGTCACTTGCTGGACTTCCCCTTCACAGGACCAGCCCCACTTTATGAGCACTTAGACCAAAATCCTGCCAGGACATCTTCCTCTCATGCCTCCTGCCCCATGCCCAGTCAGCTGGACTGTCGCTTCTGCCTTCGGAGTATCCTCGGAGGGGGGACTCGGAACAAGTGAGGAGAGCCTGCACTCAAGGACAGGACGACTCAGTGTTAGGGTGGCATTCCCAAACACACTCCCAACTAGGTAATTTGTGGATATCAGCAAACTGACTCTACATTTTAAACGGAAACGAAGTCCCCAACGGACCAACAGGAGCCCTAGAGCAGATTTGAGAACTGGTAACAGCTGGTTTCAAGACTCACTATGAAGCTACAGAGAGACCCATGTGTTGCTGGCCAAAGAACGAATGGTCGAGAGGTCACTGCAGCAGAACAGAGAGCTCAAAAACAGAACCCCACGCACATGTTACCTGGGCCCAGCCATAGCAGCAAAGGTGAAGCCGTGAAAGAAGAATTTTTCACCTACATCCACGTGCAACTGTTGTTGTTGTTGTTATGTGCCGTCGAGTCGCCTGCGACTCATAGCGACTCTATGTACAACAGCCCTAAACTCCGCTCTGTCCTGTGCCAATCGCACTGTCCCTGACACTCCCATTAGCCACGTGCAACTAGTACATCTAAATGCACAGTGTCCACATTTCCGCACAAGTCAACTCAAAAATCACAGGCTTGCATTTAAGACACACAAGTCAACACTGATATGGGAGACAACGGAGGGGCTTGGGTTTGACTCTGACAACAAACACCAATAGCACAAGGTGTAAGAAGAAGCTTGAGCGAGAGGGCTTTGTGAAGACAGAACACTGCCCATGGGAGCCACGGCCAGGAGGCTGGAAGACAAGCCATAGATGGCAAGGAAGTGTTGTCGGATGCATAGCGGGGCAAAGACTTACTCTCCAGATACAAAATACCTCCTAAAATGCCAGGATATTACAAAAACCCCTAACAAGTAACTCAGATACAGAGTGGGTGCCGGAGCAGCCACCTCGGCAGGAACTTGCAGGTGGCAAGCCAGCTCTTGAAGGGCGCTCTGCCGCGTTTCTCAGCATCGCTTCCGGCTCACTGACCCGACAGCCTACCATTCTCCTGCTGAGCAGCTAGTGGATTCGAACTGACCACCTCTCATTTAGCCTCCCAGCACATATGTGCTACATCACCAGGACTTTCATATGTCATATGACCAGACACCATCCAGTCAGCCCGACGCATAGGCGCATAGGACCCTCTGCACACAGCCCAGAACCTGCTCGGTCCTGGACAGTCTCCACTGTGTGTTACGGCCATTGTGTCACAGAGGAGGCCACGCACCTCACTCTCACCACCCTAGACTCCGACTCCCTGTGACCCCCAAGGGCAAAATGCCTACGAGGCTTCCAAAGCTTCAGTCTTTACAGAATCAGAGGCCAGAATCAGTGCCGCAGCCTGGCACTCCAACCCCTGTGCCACTAAATGTCCTTCGTTAATCATCACGTCTGCGTGCATTTATGGGGACACAGAGTCCTCCCACAGGGCCCAGGATAGCGAGGGGCACACAGGTGTGAGTCCTCCAGGGCACAGACAGCGATGCTGGTCCTAGACTGTCGCCTGTGGCACGCTGACAGGACAATGACAATGTACATATTGCAAGAGCGACCAAGGGGCCCCGGACAGGAAGCTAGTGTGCACCGGGGAAAAACTGGAGCCCACAGACTTGCTGGACTCCACGTTGGAAGCAGTGTTTGTGATGTGTCTGGGCATCTCCACTCTGGCCTCTCCTCAGGCATCCTGGTCACCCTGCAAAGACTGGGACAGCCCTGTGCACAGCAGGTCAGGACTCCCCCTCCCCCTCAGACACCCTTGTGAGCCTCTTGTGGCCCCTCTGGGTCCCTTGTGACCCCTCGTGGCCCCTTGTGATCCCTCATGACCCCTTGTGACCCTCATGGCCCCTTGGCCCTCCACTGACCCACTTTAGCAGTGGAAGTAACATCTGGCCAGCTGGGTGTGGGGCACGAGAGGAAGGTGCAATACCCTGTGGGATTTTGGCCTAAGTGCTAGAAGGTGGGGCCGGTCCTGTGAAGGGGCAGTGTGGATGGGGACCCTGGGCCTGGAGGAGAGGACACAGGTGCCTCACCTTGGGGGCACCTCAGACCACAGAGCCCTGCCCCCTGCATTGCTGCCAGCCGTGGTTCACTGCCAAAAGCCCTGTGAACTCTGTCCTTGGGCACATCTCACGGTGGAGGGGAGGGGCACACCTCGCTCAGCATCCTTGAACTTGATGGTCCTGCGCCGGGACAGTCGGGGGCTTGGGAGCACATCGGCCAGGAAGCCAGAGCTGCTCAGGCCCCGGCTGTGCAGCACCAGTTTCAGCTCCTGGTTCTCC